TTTTAACTCACTGAATGTAAGTAAGTCAGTACTTTATTGACTTCTCAATCCAACGACTATTTTCACCATCCTAGTCTTGTATCTTAAAGTCGGCCTAACATATCGATGAATTCACGAAATGATATGATTAAGTCAATTATCTATCATTATTATTAAATACCAACAAATTTCATCATGTATATGGTATGGATCAACTCTTAACACATCACTTGAACTGCAAATTACCTAGTATAGACAACCAAGGACTTGGTTTGTTGAGTCTGGAAACTCTGTCAGCCTTATTCTTTTCATCTTCCTCGAATTTTTTTTGAATCCTGCATAGCATCTTATATAACTTCAATTTTTATACCGTTAAAGTATTTATCACTATCTTTAATACTTCCAAATCTGCAAGCAGTTACTACTTTAATCTGGCTGTCTCTATAACTCAAGGACTCTTCTTGGTTCTCGATTGTGTATGATCATGCCAACAATCAATTATCTCACCAAAATTGATTGTACTTCAAATGTGACCCAATGTTACTATTACACTATTTAAGAAGGTGTTGATGTTAACTACCATAAGTCTCACTATCCCCCCAAAAAGTTACATGCCAGTTCTAATACAATAATCAAACGTTTAGGATCCGATACAAATAAAATTTCATCTTCCAAATCAAGGACAACAATATAACATAAATCTTTTCATGTATTAGTAATCTAGGTAGGCAACCTAAGGCATACTATAATACATATCAGTTAGCATATATTAGCATATAAGTCATCTCTCCTAAAGTATGCTAGTACACATAATAGCAAGTAAGGTACATAACCTAAAGCATGCTAGAAAATTAATTTATTAGCACCTAATAACGAATAAGGAATATACCCTAAAGAATTCTAGTGCTTGTGTCTATATAATAACAATTTATGTATACTACCTAAAATATACTAGACACACATCTCACCATCATCACTTAGCCTCTAAGTTTAAGTCTGGACACAATCATTATTCGTAGTTCGATTAAACTAATGTGTTGATACCAAGTGTGACATCCCCTATTTTTTAAGAACCAAAAAAGCTTTTCTTTATGCTTTCAAAACCATGTTACCTTTGTTTGCAGAAAATCCTAGTATATTAAAACATTTTGCGGAAACTTTCCTATTTTATTAAAATATCATGAATATCGATGTTGTTTCAAAATACAAAAATCCTAAGGATTTCATAATCAATACACAACATAAGTTACAACATAAAGACCAAACGGTCCTGAATACTATTGCAGGTTGTCTCTTTAATCACTTTACATCCTAATCAAATTATAGTAGCTTTAGCACCGCTACCTATGATGCATATAATTTAAGTGGGCCGGGTTTGGGAAAACCTGGTGAGACACATAGGGTTTTCAATCTAATAATATTATTATGATAATAATCCATGAATAATAATCCTACAAAACCAAGTATTACCAAACAATATAGAAATATAATCCAACGATTATATCTATAAAACACTACATCCATACATACCTAGCCCAATCAATTCTCACAAATCCTAATTTACAATCATATGAAAGAATCACCTTGTCTGATGAATCGTTTAGAACAATGATATGACTACATAACTAGGGGATTCCTTGGCCGGTGTATATCATAAAGGCAACCCAGGCCATCAGAGTATTTGATAAATATGGTATCCCGTTTCATTTATGTTTGTGGTTTATAAGTCTATACTAGCAATGTAATTCACAAGATTTTCTAGAATGATCAATTATTGTCATCTTACTATGGTAGATGACCAGTTATACCCCCCGATTGTTTGATACAGACACACCATTTTTGGCTATCTAGAAAGAGGAGAAACACCAATATAGTACTCCGGTATGTAACCCGTACATCGACATGAAATAGTGTCATAGACAAGAGCTCTACTCTCCGTTCCAATCTTACACACGCCCCAATATAAAAACTACCTACTCATTTAACTTACTTCTAAATAAGTATCATTTACAAGTCTTAGTTTGTAACTAGACCAGATTTCAATGCATGTAATTCATAGTCTTCTTAGTTTGTAACTAGACCAGATTACCATTCCTGTAATTTACATATAATAGCACTTTCCAGTTCATGAAATACTATCATAATACATGTATACATTTAGCACAAAATGGTAAGAAGTCAATACACATTTAATCTTCCTAAGTAATCATACTTCTATTTAGATTATCATGTAGTATTACCAGAAATACTTTTAGCACATAAATAAACAAATTTGGCTTTCACAGTGCATGTAGTATTAACAAATATACATTTAACACGTATTCCATATAATAATCATTTAATTCATAGATAAACTTTCAACTGATATTTAATACTTTTAATAAATATTAGTATCAAAATCATGTTGATAAAAGTAAGTATGTACTCACCTGATATAGGTGGAAGATTCACAGGAAACTTAGCTCCTCGTCAAACACTTCAGTTTTCCCTTTTTAAATTACCTAAATACGACTATTATTAAGTCTTACTATTCGTTCGTATTAATCTATACTATATTAATCACGTCTCAGATTTCTCTATAAGTTCCACGAATACTGAGTTCTATCAATTAAGGAATAACTAGGTAAGAGCACTTTTGGAGGTAGGATTCGTTTGGTAAAAATATATAATGATTGGAAAAATCCACTATAAACACCTCACCAGATCTTGCCTAGACATCACTCATGTATGTAGATCAATCAGTATTTTAACTAAAATTTCTGATAAATCTTATTTATAGGTCCATAATAACGATTATCAACATAAATGTAAGTGACACTTAAAAACGTAGTAAGTGCAACTTAATTTACAGAAATTTCTAGCAAAAGTTCGAAAAGTCTCGGGCATAACTTCGACTCTAAATACTTCTTTTTATCGGGCCTCCATTGATGCAACACTTTACTAAGAGGCTCGGGTTGCGGGAAGAGAGTTGAGAGAGATTGGAGGAAAAATGTGTGAGAAATGAGCATGAATCAAACCATATATATGGGTGTCGCCTGGGAGAGTCGTACCTATGTGTCAATCGCCCATTGGTTTTGTGTCGTCTAGAGGTAGGTGCGGGGGTTGTTTTCCAAGCTTGCCACATGTTATAATCTCGCTAATATGCGTCGCCCATTCACAGGTCAATCTCGCAATATTTGAAATATCATATCTCTCGCATACGAGCTCAATTTTCAATGTTTTTTTTATATACATGGATTCATAACTTACTCATACAAAATCGGATTTTAGCGTTCTTTATATACTCACAACTTCGTAATAACTACTACTACAACTTTCGTTTCGATTATTTATCCTAAATAATCTTCTATTTAAAAAATTTTTATTTTATTGCTCTTCGATAAATTATAAAAAGGTTTTTATTCAAATGTTATATACCCGTAATATTTGTCTACATAACACATATATAATAAACACATATTTGTATAACCTATAACGCGTACGAAGAAGAATTATCCTACTCGAGGATATTAATTATTCAATAAAATGTATAATCATAACCATTATCCCTTAAACGTCTAGCCCAAATTTGCAGGCGTTACAGTAGAAGTCGAAAAAGTATAGCTAGGGATTGTTTGTTTTGGAAAGTGGTTGTTTCAAATTAATATCAAAGTCCTAGCTTAAGTATGTTATGTAATCAAAAGAAGGGATTCCTAGTCTCAAACTTACAGAAATACGAAGCGTAAGTAAGTCCATTAGAAGTTCTTGCACGCCAAGAAGTTCATTAAGAAATTTATTAAAAAGTTATTGTATGCTGAGAAGTTATTGCATGCCAAGTAGTTCACTAAAAAAATTATTAAAATTTTCTTATTGCATGCTAAGAAGTTCATCAAAAGTATATTAAGTTCTGCAATGCTAAGGCTTTCGTTATGTAGTTTATTAACAAGTTTTTTGAATGTTAAGAAGTTATTGCATGCCAACAAGTTTGTTAATATCATCTAAAAAGATATAGTGTTAATTTTTATATCACATATCAAAGTAGTAGTAAATAAATGTCTAACACATCTTTAAACAATCATTCATAAATTAATCAAATCATATTATTAGGTAAAACAAATTATTAAAAACCTGAGATTATTCTTGATTGTTCGTCACTAATTATAAATAAAACTATAAACCAATCCAATATAAAAAACTGAAAAGCAAACCAATATATTGATTACCTTATCTGTGAAAGTTGAAACCATGTGTTGGAGTGGTTTAACATCTATCTGACTAGTATTTGTTTTAATAGATAAAAGTTGGGTGAGTACTCCAATTTTAAACACTAACCATAATACAGGGAAGTCCTCCAACAAAAATCATATGGAAAAGATGGAGATGTCCAGGTAATCGACACGGGTGTGAGCTAATGTTTTGGCTCTGTGAATGATCCGCTCCTGTTTGAATGTATAATATAGCAAAAGGAAGTATCACGGGTGAAAGCATAAATGTATAACCGTTTACACATTTATTTAACAATGTATATGGTTTAGAATTTGAGTTCAAAAAACGAAAACCCCCAATACTGAAAAATGGGTTCCAACATTCTCTTTATATTGTTTGACTTCATATAGCATCATTCTCATTAGCAATTCGTCTCCATTAGCTTTTATGGTGATCTTCTTGTCGGGTGGTGTTGATCAGAGTCTTCTCAACCTTAATCAATCGGGTTCGTATTAGAGTGAAACTGTTCTTTATGGAACAATTGTTTAGTGGTTGTTACTTAAGGATAATATTTGACACGATATTCAAACATTTATCCGTTTCAATATTTTATTTTCTTTATACTATAAGCTCCATCTGATTGGCAATCAATGAATTTTCGAAGTAGAACACGACACCCTCATGGTTATTACATAAAAACATGCACATAATCAAGAAATCGTTAATATTTAAAAGGGATTAAAATGCTGAAAAATGAATATATATATATATATATATATATATATATATATATATATATATATATATATATATATATATATATATATATATATACATGGGCTTTATGTACTCCATTTTCCATATACGTACGTAATTATGTACATAAAGGATAGATAAGAATGGCCACATTACAACCACTATAGCAAAACGATCTCTAGGCACAAAACAAGCGTCCTAAAAATTACTGTTTAGACTAAGGAAATACTATATATGGTCCTTATAACCATCACCATGTGGCAGTCACACCTTCAAGTATTTTTACAATTTTTTCTACATATATTATTTATCATTTTTTAACAAGATTGTACTAAATCCTGAATAACTTATAATTTAAAACCTGTAACGGAAAAATCTTGCATTAACCACTGAGAGTTTAGTGTAATTCATCTTCTGATATGCAGCTATAGAAGGAACGAGAACTAGTACTAAATGAGGTAAAAGAATCATCATGAAGGAAGTCTTTGAGGTGTTTTGCGAATTCTTTGGGTTTCTCCAGGTTAACTGCATGACCAGCATTTGCAATGACTACCATTCTAGCATTCTCTCCAAGATGTCTGTTAAAAGCAACATATATATATGCATAATCATGACCCTATTTAAAGGAAAATAAAAATGGGAACCATAAACTACGAATAAATTGAACTGACCTAAGTAATCTTTCACCAAGGATCAGGGGGAAAATCTGATCTTTCTCTCCCCATAATATCAATGTGGGCTGTTTGATTCGGCACAAAAACAAATTGATTTTCAACAAAGTGTAACTCACATTAACAATCTCATATAATCGACCCTAACAATTACATTTAGGATTTTAACCAAGTGGTATTATCTTTAATTAGTAATATCTACTCTAATAAATAAAGGTTTTTTGCCACATGTCCTCTTCTTCTTCATTTGGACACATGGCATTTTCTAAAATTTTTAAATTTTCTATTTTCCACTTGTCATTTTATTGTATTTTTCATTTTATTAAATTAAAATTCCACATTTAATATGTAAGGTAATATATATGTAAGGTATTTATTAGAAAGGGTTTATATATGTAATGTATTCAATACATTAAAGTCTCATTAATTTTAATAATGCAAAAAATTTCTCATTTTTCTTATAAATTCAAACTTTTCAAATTGTTAAAATTTTATATTTAATTTTTTTTTAAATAAACTCATGTAATACATGGGTCTCACACCTAGTATAATAACAAATAATAAATCTGTTTTCTTTTTCATAAAAAAACAAGGATGGCATAATGGCATTACTATACCACGTTTTTTTTTTTGTAACAAATGATTAGGAAAACCAATTAATAATTGTTATTAGTGCATGTAATTTTCTAATCGATTCAATTTGGACTCAAAATCATTGAAGACTACTGAAAGTTGAATTTGTTGTAGTTTAGGTACGTGTTTGAAAAAGGATTTAGTACCATAAAAGAAAAGGTTCTAAGTTCAAACCTGATTAACCTTCGGCATTCTTGAATACTCTGAATATTGTCTGTCCTTGAGAATTGATTGAATAAGCTCTCGCTTTTCTTTTAGATATTCTGAACACATCACCTACATGTTCCAAAATGACAATGCAAGAAACCTATCAATTCCATTATTCGTTTTAACCATTAAACATTCTCATTTTCTAGACCCTGATCACAATATACGAGCATAAAATATAACCAGACAAGTTTCAACCACGTTATGGGTTGATGCCACAGAAACATATTTTCCAAGAGGTACATTTTTATAAGAATAAATAGAAATAGATATGTAATAAACTTACATCAATGAAATCAGCTAGAAAGTAATTTGGGATTCCCTTGACAGGCTTTACAAAAGAAACTTTCATCAATTCCCTCAACTTTTCCGGCGTTTGAGCCAACAAAATCTTCTCAGCCTCTTCCACATTGGAAACAGTGAACAACCCATCTCTCAAGTCCTTCTCCTCCAAACACAAGCCGGAGCAACACACCACCAGCCTCTCCACCACCTCCGGGAACTGCACAGTCATGCTGTACCCAACAAACCCACCATAACTTATCCCAACCAATCTCATCCGCCTCACCCCAAACCAATCCACCATCAACTTCATCACACATTTCGCCTGAAAAGATTCGGATCGTTCTGGCCTGGTTGTGAACGAACTACCAAAGAAAAGTAAATCAGGCACAAAGACATTGAATTTAGGGGTGAAGTAAGAAAGGAGGTCTGCGTATTGCCACATGGCGTTGGCACCAAAGCCATGGAGGAGAAGGAGGTTTGGTTTTGATGGCTTGTAGGTTCTTGGGATCCAGCAATGCATGATTGTGCCATCGCCAAGGTCGTTTGATACAGATCGGAGGCCGGAGAAAGAGAAGAAATAACGATACCATCGATCCTTCATGGTTGTAAAACTAAATAATTTGGCCATGTTTATATATGAAGAGGAAAATTAAAGAAAATTCTTCATGCAAAGCTTGCGCAATGCATGAACGAATATTTCTTGCTGATTGAAAAGAAAGATTTTGTGGGCATGCAATATGCATCCAACCAAAATTGAAAAACCTAAAAGGGTGTCAAATTTGGAAATTAGCTGGGCAATGGGTGTGAAAGAGAGGAGATTGTTTGCGAATTAATAAAGGGTCTCCATGCGGACAAATGTCCCAATTTAATTAAATGATTTTTTTTATATGAAATAAATTGTTTTAGCAAGGAATAATCACAAAGACACCCAAATGGGTGAACGTATATCAAATATGTTAAAAAGATAATTAACATTTCTCGATCTACACTTGGAAGGTGAATTTAATAGCTCTAACTTGGACAATTTGTCTTTCACCATAATGATGTAGATAGTCCGAGGGATCAATCGGATCTTCAAACATTGAAGATGGAGGGTTGTTCGTGAATTACGGGAAGCTAGAGGGCTGAGGTGTAACTTGTGAACTATATAATGTCAATGATGTCTGTTTAGGTATTTAATTCATTTCTTTTGTATTTTTACATTTCTAAAGTTATCTTTCAAAGGAGTAGGTTAATTTTCCTTTCATTATGTTTCCTTTCATTTTGTCGCTTTGCTCATGTGTAATGAGTATGTGTTAGGGTTCGTGTTCTTGATAGTAGATTAGGGAGATTGTAGCGAGTTTTTAAGTTATATTGTGTATCAAGACATTAGTAAAAGTTGATTTTGCGTTTCCATTCAGAATATAACTAGAATATAAGTGCATTCTACATTTTATGATAAAAGAGCTAGCAAGAGGGCAAAGGCTACAAAGACTTCAAAGAAAATATTCCCTATTCGAGTTACGACACCATCCTAACCAAATAACGACCACCTTTCTTGAGCCGACTTTTGATCCAAAGTAAGGAAAAAGGTCAGACTAGGTTAGCAATTAGTTTATATGATTCAATCGAGTTGGAGTGTATCTTCTTGATTCTAGAAGTCTACATCTCCCACATGTAGGTAATTGTCGCTGCCTCGATGAATCTAGAGCTCTTTTCAAAAAGATGTGACACTCAAGAATGTTTACACTACAAGGAATTGGGCCTATCAGGGTAACCAATGTCCACTATATGTAGGTTAACCTATAACCTATAGAGGGAACTTACCCATTTGCTAAGTTTTTCTGGAAAAAAAAAATTTTTCTAGGTGACATGTTGCCAGTAAAGGTAAAGAGGGAATATTATGCCACAAAAAAACAACACCAGAAGGAAAAGTTATAAATGCCAAATATCACTATTGTAGTGTGTTGGTGATTTATGTAATCAACTTTATTTAAGTGTAATGGGATTAACTTGTTGACCAATGTGATCTTGACAAATATTGGTCATGTAAGGATGGTGCGGAGTGCACACTTGTTTGAGTTTGTCTTGATTCAAAGTACATTGTCATTTAGGAGCGAAGCCCCTGAACCACGGAGGTAGTGCCCCTGGTAACAGGGTCCTAGGGCAGAGCCCGTGGTTGGGATCGAGTTGCCCTGATCTTGACAATTTTTTATTTGGGTTAGTATTGCTTTACAGAAAATGCATAAAAATCCAAATCTGACAATTTTGACCCTCATGTTAACATTTGACCTTGACAGTTGACCCTAAAGAACCAGTTTTAGGGCACTTTAGTGCCAGTTTTGTGGCAGTTTTTAACTGTTAATATCACAATTTCTTGGCAGTTTCGGATAGGGAGTTATATCTCCTTTTTTGTCATTCTTCGGGTTCACACAACACATAACATCCCTTATTATTTGTTCTTAATCTCATACTGAGTTTTATCTAGATTAGAGATTTCGAATGTACCATCGAAATGCTTTAATCTGAAAATGTAATTCACGACTCTCAGTAATCTAAGCATTCATAATCCTCAATTTTCTAATACAGGTTAAAGCATTATGTGAAAATGGTGAATGGAGGTTCTATGAAGGACATGATAAGCAAGTTTGATAAGTTGGTTAAGTTTGAAGGGCGTGATTTTCATAGATAGCAGACGAAGATGCATTTCGTATTTACTACTCTAGAAGTGGTGTATGTTCTGATCACCCATGCCTAAATTCACCGAAGATGAACCCTTGGACGCAACAAGAAGGATATCAAAGTGGGAAAATAATGACTATATATGTCATAGGCACATTATCAATGGTATGTCTGATTCTCATTTTGATATTATGAAAATGTGGAATCTACGAAAGAACTATGAGATTCATTGGAATCCAAGTATATGGCTAAAGATCCTTCTAGTAAGAAGTTTATGATTAGTAATTTCATAGGTTACAAGATGGTTGCTTCCTAGCTTGTAATGGAAAATTTCCATGAAATGTTAAGGATTAATGATCTTGTTTATTTCGAAGCTACTAGAATAATACATCAAACCAAGGCTCCTTAAACACCAGAAAAGCTAAGTCTTTTGGATCTAATTTTCAACTTTATTTACTTGTAGGAGCCAGGATGAGACTGTATCTCAACATCAATATTGTTTTATTATTGAGGAAGATCCAAAGACTTTTATAGAATCAATGGCTTCTAGGAATGTTGCTTTCTAGATAAGAAGCAATCCAGGATGAGATTGATTCTATCATGCATAATGATACATAGGTATTGGCTGATTTGCCTCTTGGATGCAAAGCATGAACATGTAAATGGATCCTCAAAAGAAAGATGAAAATGGATGTCCAAATAGATAAGTACAAATCAATATTGGTTATATAAGGCTTTAGGCAAAAACAAGGTATTGACTTCTTTGATAGTTATGCTCCTATTGCTAAAATTTCCATTAATTAGATTCCTATTAGCTCTTGCAGCTATACAGAATGTTGTAATTCACCAAATGGATGTGAAAATTGCATTCTTAAATGGCGAATTAGATGAGAAAAATTACATGAAAAAACCTGAAGGGTTTTTGATACCTGGAAATGAAAACAAGGTGTGTAATTTAAAGAAATCATTGTATGGTCTAAAACAAGAACCAAAACAATGGCATCAAAAGTTTGATGAGGTGGTCTTGTCTAATGGGTTTGCATTAAACCAAGCTGACAAGTGTGTGTTTGTGATTTATACTATCAATGTTATTTAAGTGTAATGGATTAATTTTTTGACCAAATACAATCTTGATAAACATTACAAAAGTATAGGTGGTACGAAGTACACACGTGGTTTAGTTTGATTAAGATTCAAAGCACATTGTCATTTAGGGGCGAAGCCCTTGAACCTACAGGGGTCTGGGGCTACCCCCCTGCTAGTAGGGTCCAAGGCATGGCAACCCCTCGCAGGGTCCAAGGAGCAGAGTCCCTGGCTAGGGTCGATCTGAATTTTTTATTTTGGTTAATATTGCTTTGTTAAAAATGCATGGAAAGCCGAATTTATGAAAATTGACATGGTTTTTTACCCTAATCTTGAACCCAAATTTAGTGACATTTTATTGCAGTTTTGTGATAGTTTGAAATTGCCTTGTCACAATTAAGACAATTTTCAAACATAGAGGTTACTAATTAATTTTTGGTCAAACTTTGGGTACATCAAGAGCATTACATGCTTCCATTCTCTCTGATCGAAATTACAAAATTTTATCCAATTGAACTTTCCAAGTGGATCTAACGAACCATAAAAGCAACAAGGTTAAAATTTTGATTTAATGCAAAGTTTTAATATTGTTCGGAATTATGTTTCTATTATTTCTGAGGCATTTTATGTGCATGATGATGATGTTGCATGATGGGTTGATCCCGGTGCTACGATTCATGTTTTTAAGGATATATGTTGGTTTAAAGAATGTCAAAGAATTGAGATGGATCTATTATGAACATGGTAAATGTTGTAACTGAACCAATAAATGGATTATGATCTGTTTTACTCAATTTTACGTTGGGGAAATGTTTGTGCTAAGACAATGTATTTTATGTACCAGGGATTCGAAATAATCTATTATCTGAAATAGTTCTAAATAAGTGTGGTTACAAATAAGTGTTGGAAAGTTACAAGTATATCTTTTCATGGCATGATACTTTTGTTGGATTTGGTTATGTATATAATGGAATGATTAGGCTTAATCTTAATTATCCTTCTTATGATAATTTAATTTGCATGGCTTTAACTAGTACTTGCAATAACATGAATAAATCAAATTTATGGCATGATAGACTAAAACATATCCATTACAAGAGATTAAAAGACATGTCCAAAATGATTTTAATTCCAACTTTTGACATGAATAATGACAAGTCTAAAACTTACTGGTAAACAAAGATCACTAGACAACCTTTTAAGGATGTTGTTAGGGAAAGCAAGGTGTTGGAACTCATACATATTGACTTATGTGATTTTCATGTAACACCTTCCCTAGGAAACAAAAAGTATGTCATTACTTTTATTGATGATGCATCTAGATATTGTTATTGATGGGATTTATATGTTACAAAAATCTTATTTTGGCGGAAAAACATAAAACCTAAGTTCACATGCACCCTAAAGGATCTATGTTCTCACAATGATTTGCAAGCAACTATTGAATATCAAGAACCCTAGAACTACATTGTTATTTTTTGAAAATAACTAAAAGGTTATTAGAAAATACTTACCTTATGTTTATTGTAGTAAGTAAACAATTATTCCTTCTTGATCTAGCTTTAGAAAGCAAGCACCAGAAGTCTCGTGTTTCTAATGGCTCATACCTAAACCCTAGAAAGTTGGAGGCTAAAGAGGACAGAGGAGAGTAGGAAGGATTTTCTGTTCTACCTCTTGTAGAAGGGATGAACGAAATTGTGAACCCTTAGGAGGGTTTATATAAGTGATAGGGAGGTTAAGGATAAGCTAGTTTCCTTAGATTAGCCTTATCCCTTTTGCTTTCCCCCTAAGGCATCCACGGTTACTTAGAGCGAAAGAAAAGCTTTAGAAATCACTCTAGAAACCCTATAACCAACTAGAATTTCGTCCCTCCTCCTAGCGAGGTTCTAGAATTGGTCAATGTTCAACTTTTGAACATCGTCATCTTTAGTCATTCCACTTTTAATTAATCCAGTTAACTCCAAAATTAATTC